TGCTGTGCAGTGGAGTCTAGCAAACAGCGAAACTCAATGAGACAAAAAGACAGAGCTAGATACTGAGAGAAAGACTGACAGACAAAGACAGATGTATAAGGTCAGGGGAAGAAAAACTGTTACAGATAGAGCAACCATTAAAATTAAAATACAAGAGTCTAATAGGGATGCTAAGTATAAGAACACCACCAAAATTCAACAGCGTGCCATCATTCCAGAAAGTAGCACCAACAATACAAGCATAAGACCTGAGTTCGAATCCCCAGTACTCATGTAAAAAGCCAGGCATGACCGTAGGTACACATAACCCCAGCTTTAAGTACAGGAGGATTCCGAGAGCTGGCTGGCCATTAAGCTAAATGGCAAGCTTCCAGTTCAGCGAGAGACCATGTCTTAAGACAATACAGAGAGGAGAAAGGCAATAGAGGAAGATACCAGATATTCCATGCTAGTCTTTGTATGTATGAATATGGACACACACACCTCTAATGTGCATGCAACACACACACACACTTACCATCAACAAAACTATAAAACAACAGAATTATGCCAAACAAAAAGTAACAACACTTTCATGAAGATATTATAAAATCCCAACGAAGACTAGTTTCTGCCTGGTATACACATTCAGTAAGATGTCTATCAACTCCCCCAAACACTAAATGCAAAGATGCAAACACCCATAGACAGTTAAAGTAATCTAGAAAAAAAAACCAAAAGGGCAAGGTCTCCCTGGTATTTAACATTTATTCAGAAGTGTGGTTTTATCATAGAAACACAACAGAACAGACAGAGCTCAGAAAGAGACCCACAATCTACCCAGAAACTTGATATCTGATAACGGTAGTGGAAGAATTCTTGACCAGAAAATACTACTCACCAGTGTTGAGGAGACAACTGAAAATACTGGAGAAAGTATAACTCAATTAGGTTGCTACCTAGTGTACACAGAATAATATACCTCAGATACAAGAATAAGCCCCGCCCAATTTAACTGACTAGAATCTCATATAAAATAACTTTGAAATCACAAAGCTAGCTCAAGAAACACTGCCCTCGAAGAAGACCCAAGTCTGATTCCCAGCACCCATGTGGTGGCTCACAAACATCTGTAACTCCAGTTTCAGCATGTTTGATGTCCTTCTCTGGTCTCTGTGGACACTTGTTGCATGGAAACACATGCAGGCAAAACACCCTTACTCATAAAATAAAAAATATTTTTTTAAAAAAATGCAGATTCTTAAGGCCCACCCCAACTTTCCTATATTAGAACCTGCATTTTTCACTTGGGAGGCAGAGGCAGGTGGATTTCTGAGTTCGAGGCCAGCCTGGTCTACAGAGTGAGTTCCAGGACAGCCAGGACTACACAGAGAAACCCTGTCTCAAAAAAAAAAAAAAAAAAAAGAACCTGCATTTTTAACAAGATTCCTACATGCAACATAGGATGTCCTTCACTAAAAACTTCTAGAGAACTCTTTAAATTTAAATAGACAGTGGCTCAATAGTGGCACAATTTAGCCTGCTTCTATTCGAAAGGTCCTCATCCCGGCTGTCCATTACTGTAGAGATATAATTTCAAACCCTATGATAAAATAGCTATACCCTGAGCTCACTGGATCGATAGTTTTTTATTATCTTACCCTACTCCAGGTACAGGCATGGATCCTGGGCACCCACACATCAGGGCTTCTGTGTTTTATACACTGGTGAGATCTCAGTTTATAGTTCTAAGATGCACGGTGTTCTGGTCTACTGCCCATAAAAGATCGGGAGCAGCAGATATAAGGGAAAGAAGGAAAAGGTGAGGCCAGAGCGAGGTCTACAATAAGATATGACTGTTAAAAGGGTAGCTTTGACATTTTCATGGTTATTTAGTTTTTATAAATCTGTACACATCTCAAAAACTATCACTCAGCTCCTAGTTCGAATCAGCCCAAGTGTCCTTCAAACAAGCAGAAAGACAGACAGACTGAAGACTCTACTCCAGCCTCAGTTTCCCTGATTCTGAGCGCCTTGGTATAGGACAGCGTTTCTCAACCTGTAGGTCGAGACCCCTGTGGGTCCATTTGTAACAATGAAAATACATCCTGAATATCAAATATCTACATGATATTCTAAGACTAGCAAAGTTGCAGTTATGAAATAAAAACGAAACTAATCTTATGGTTGTGGTCACCGCATGAGAAAAGTTGGGAATCACCGACTTAGACACTTTACAGCCAGAGGCATCACTGGCAAAGTTTGTAAAGTGACCTTGGTTACCAGGACTTTCCTCTAAGAACAAACACTTTGCATATTAAATGTGATGTTTGACCTAAAATGAGAGAACAAAACCTGTTCCTAACTCCTGTATCATGAGGAAATGCGGAAACCTTGGTGCTATGCTAAGAGTGTCATCTCCCCCTTCTGAAACACCTCCATCCATTACTCAGCCCACTCCTGACTCCCTCCTCGTTCTGCCCAGGAATCATCTGGGGTTCTTGTTCCACTGCAGTCTAACTGCAGAGGGCTGGGAAGGCTCACAAACCCCATTCTTTACAAGCTCCAGGAGCTGCTGTGCGGTTAGCTGGAAGGACCATACTTGTAGTCTGGAGGCTCTAGAACCAGTCCTCCTTTTGGCTACTAATAGGAACCCAAACAAGGAGGATGGTTTCCTTATTCCTGACTAGAACATTCCACATAACGCTTGGTGCAAAAACTTGGCGCTAAAAACTACAGGCTTTTCTGATCTGATATCAGGGGTTTGCATCTCTCAACCACTGCCCTTTCCCGTGAAAAGACCTTATTGGAGGATCAGAGATGCAGGAGCTTCCTCTGCTCATTCATTGCAGCTGAGGTCAAGGGGGCAAAGGATTGACCAAGTTCACAGGTGAGAGTGGTCAAGAGGAAAGCAGACCTGAGGCAGGAAGGCGAAGGCATCCATTCAGGGGCTTTGCAGGATGCCTGCATTGTAAAATACAGGTGCTTAACACATGAGAACTCAAGGACTAGCAAAAGAAAGATTCAAAGGGGAACAGAAAATTCTAAAACTGGCTGACAGGCCTGGAGCCTTGAGATAGCAGAAGGTAACTAGCCTGGAGGGCTCCTCCTGCTTGAAACCACACAAAGCTATTGTTTTTCCCCTTCCTTCCTCACCTTGAGGAATTTACATTTTAAAAGTATCAAAGTGTTCACCTGACCCATTCCCCAGCCTGTTTCCTTCTTCTGGAACCTTTCTGAATGAAACACCACCACCCAAGAATGGAGTCTACTCCTGCTCAGTATCAAGAAGCACTTGTGCAAGCTTACAGAAATATTTTCAGAGGAGAAAAGGGACCGTAATCCTAGAACCCTCGCCTGGCAAATGGATGCTGCCTTTCCCAACACCACATAGGAAAGCAGAGAGTGTAGGAAGGAAATCAACAGATTGAATGACATTCTGCCTCCTGGGGCCATGCCTGTGCCTGAATTGGGCCACCCTGGCTCCTGGGGGGACTCTCCCCCCTTGTCCCTAAAGCTGTGCCCCCAGCACAACTGAAACTGGATTTGTGGGCCAGTGAGAAGGCTCTGTGAGTGGAAGTGTTTGCCACCAAGCCTAAGACAACCTGAGTTCAATCCCAAGGACCTCCATGGCGGGAGGATGACTGACTCCACAATGCTGTTCCTGGACCCCTACAAAGCCCTATTTTGGGCAGGTACCCCCAAATACAAACACAACATAATGAATTAAAAATTAGCAATTCTCTTACTGCTGAGGCTGCACTCACCCAGAACTTCCACACCAAGCTTATTCCAAAAGTCTTCATCTTTCTATGCAGCTCTCTGGGTCTGGAGACAAAGAGCCATCTACAGGGAAATCAGCCGGAAGCCTCCAGTCTGAATCCTGAAGGCCAAGGTTCCTCAGAGCTGCACTTGCTGGGGCTTGAGTCTTTTCTTTGTTTCTTTTCCTGGTTAATCTGAACACACCTGGCTGATCTCAGGCCGTCTTGGCACATCTGGGGGATTTGACCAGATGTCCACACCTGATCATCCATTGACCTTCCAAAGACCACAAACGGCTTCCTCCACGAGTCCTCAGCGAGAGGGGAAAGAACTGGAGATGAAGCTCAGAACTGCTAGCTGCAGGGCTGTTTGAAGCAACCGACCCAGAGCTGGGTTTTACGTTTTCCATGAATTTCTTAATTGCCTTAATGGACACTCGTTACTGTAAAATAAAGAGAAGTTGGTTTTCCTTATTTGTTTACAATGAGACAGTTTTGATTGAGCAACTCAGCAGAGACTTTCCAAATCCATTGATCTTGGGTGTAGGGAGAATTTCTTTTTAAAGCATGGGTCCAGAATGATGGGTTCACTAAGTTGGAGCACAAAGACAGTAAACTCATGTTCTCAAGAGTAGGTTTCGCAAGGTCTATGAGAAGACCACAGCCTCTTCGGAGTCATGGAAAAAGTCATGTGTGGAAGAGGGAGGGGACTGGACTTTGCAAAGGAAACTGCCTCTGACACCCAAAAGGACAGGCTGAAGGTGACAAGGAGAATCCGGATGGTTTCTGATCCCTTCCCAGAAGACATGTAGATGGGCCTCGCTCTAGGTGGTGGCCTGCCATCGGGTGTGGCTTGAGAGTTACAAAAAGTAGCTGACTAGGACCTTGGGGGGTCTTACCATAAAGGAAGCATAGGGCAGTGTTTCCTGACAGACCTCGGTACCTTTCCTGTGGCCGGGTGTACTTGGAGAAAAGATCTCCTGGGGTCCTTAAAGAACCCTAGGTTTGATGGGGTCGGATCTTCAAGCCTAGACCTTGCCCCTATTCCAGAAGTCCACCTGGTTGTCCCGCATACCATCTTTGTGGTCGGCCCCACCCACACTACGCTGTCCTGTCCCACCTCTCTCTCCAGGGGGCACGGGTTCACAGCTGGTGGTGATAAACTCCGTGATAGCCAAGTTTAATCATCCCCACCACTTAAAAGTAGCTTTAGCACGGAGTGGCATTACAAGTTTCTGCTTCTTGCTCCAACCGGATGCCATGGCTACCCACCAGGCGTACAGGCCAGAGACGCCCCCACACCCCGACCGCCTGTGGGTCTGGGAGAAGAACGTATACCTGGATGAATTTCGTCGAAGTTGGCTGCCCGTAGCCATCAAGGTACCAACTGCCTTGGGGCTAGCAGGTTGGGCAGCAGGGGTGTGCCCTGTCTGGGCCTGGGAGCCCTGGTAGTAGGAGACCAGGGTACAGAGGATCCAGTGTCGTTTGGGTCGGGCCTTGTGGACCCGGAGAAGGGTGGGAGCACCCCGAGCTCAGTAGACAAGCCCCTCTCACGCATTGCCTGGGGGTGTGTGACTATCATTCAGGGTGAAACAAGGCTTTCCTAAACCATAAAATTGGAATATCTTTAAGGTAGCTAGTAGTATCCACGTCGGTCGATAATAAGATTTAACTTTGTTTTGCGCGTGGAAACTCGGCATGGGTCTTAATGAATATTGGCGTTTTCAAAAGAACTCTCTTCTAGAGGTACGTTCCGGCAGAAATTATTGAAAAGCATTCCACTTGTAAAGCCAAGGAAAGCTATAAAGAAAATTAAACTGCTGAGGCATTGTATGATATGCTAGGACCTGGGAAATGTCTCTGCTCCCACAAAGTTGGGGCTTTTGAGCCTCGCAGACTTGGGGCGCCGCTAGCAAATGGTGAAGCCACAGTTCTGGGCTCTTAAATCTACATTCTTGCTGTCGTTTGACGATGCTAAGTTTACATATATCTAGTTGTTTGTTTGTTTGTTTAAACGTTAAGTCAGATGTGTGAAGACAACATGGGTGGATATTTCTTTTTAATATCAGGTTAACAACTAGCTTTTCACCCACACCATGAGCCAGAGACTGTTCCAGATCTGTGATAGATGCTATCTGAACAGGGGCTTGGTAGCAAACTGCAAGGCGGGGTTTTATTGCCCATGATTGAAGAAGCCGGGGTTTCAAACAAGTAAGCGTTCACTCGCGTTAATAAGGAAAAAGAATAATTTTTAGCAGCGGTTAGATTGTTGACGCATGCGCTGTGAATGGTGGCGCTTACACACCTGGCGCCACTATCTGACTTAACAGATTCAACTGATCTCGTCGGCAGATCATCCCACAGGTCTGTTCTCACCCTGGGGGGAAAAAACACACTCGTTAAACACGTGTGAGCGATTAAGTGTAAAGGCCAAGCAGGGGTCTGCACTGAGGGCTTGCAGGGAGTGTGGTAGGAGCCCCCTCTCCTTGGGAAGGTGGTACAGTCGGGAACAGGGTAGCCTGTGGGAAGAGAAAGTAGACATGGGGGTGAGGGGAGGGAGTTGTGCTGTAGTGCACTCTGGGGAGGGGGGTCAGCACACTGTGAATTCAGTTTGTGGTTGCTCGTCATATTTTTGAGTCGTCTTGTTTGGCGTTTCAGATTGTTCCCCTTCCCCTGTACTGCTGAGGAGCAAACCCAGGGCTCTGTGCATAACAGACGAGAACTCTTCTACAGAGCCTCAGCCCAGCCCTGGGTACGCGTCTTTCAGTTTTGAGACTTGGTCTTAGCTACTTAGGTTGACCTTAATCTCCCTTTGTATCTCAGGTAGGCCTTGAACTTAGGATCCTCCGGCCTCAGCTTACTCAGTAGTACAGGCCAGTGCCACTTGGTCCCACCAGGTCTTAACTGGACTATTTTGTAGGCTTTTGCTTGTATGAGGGAGGGCTGTTTTGTATGTTTGGGTGGCGAATTTGTTTTGGTTTTTTTCCATCTCAAATTGGTGGATGAAACTGATTTTCAGGAGCTGGTGAGGTGGCTGCAAAGGTGCTTGCCGTCAAGCCTGATGACCTGAGTTTGATTCCCGGGACTCCCATGATGGACAAGAACTAATACTGCATGTTGTAGCATGTCCTTCCCTATGTGGTATTCTCCCCTCATTTCAGCACTTGGGAGGCAGAGACAGGTGGATCTCTGTAAGTCTGAGCCAGGAGAGGGAAGCAGAGACACTCTTGTGTAGGCTTTGTGGATTTCTGTGGGCCCTGGACTCTCACTGCCCATGAGGGGAAGATGTCAGGAGTCTAGCAGGCATGACTTTCTTTCATTTTTTTTTTTTTAGCTTCTAAGAATGTAAGCTTTGTTACTAATTTACCTCTCATAGACCTAAGTCCCAACAAGGAAGTTGAAAAGTCAGAAATCCTGTGGCATCCCATCTCTGCTTTGGTACCCAGAAGAGAGTGAGACTCTTCAAAGTTTCCAAAGCTTCAGGGAGTCCAGGGTTATTTTGAGCGGACTCCTTGGGGTCCTGCCTGGTGGTCTCTCTTGATATACAGTGGTGACAGCACATTTTTCAATTCTTGTGGCTTAAGACAACTGCTTGGGCATCCTCAATTTTTTTAATTGTTGGTTGTTTGTGGGGAGTGTTGTTTTTGGTGAACCCCAAGCCAATAAAGTGATGTTGTCTCAAGTAAACGGAAGAAAAAGTAGATAATGTCTTAAGAAATGACATCCGAGGTGGTTTTCTCTGCTCTGTGTGGATGGCCCTCCCACACACACACTTGAGACCAAGCTGAAGGGCTGCATGGCTTACCCTAGCAATAGGTTGGCCCAGCCAGAGTCCCTGAGATTGTGCGCAGCCTGTGGAGTTGGCCTCCAGGAGTGGGCTCTGTGCTCAGGCTGTTGGGTCAGCCCCAGGCTCCTGAGTACAGAATGGATGCTGGTGGTTGTGCTCTGAGGAGTCTGACAGTAGTCAGGAGACAAAGGTTGTGTTCTGTTCTTCCTCTACAGAGTGATGGAAAATTCCAGGTGCTCATGTACCAGCGAGATGTCACCTTGGGGGCTGCTATGACCCCTAGTCAGCTGATGCCTTACCAGCTGCCTTTAATGTGGCAACTGTACCCTGGGGAAAAGTACCGAAGCTGTGATTCCATGTTCTGGAAGATACTGTACCACGTCAAGGCAAGCACAGCTTACCCCAGGGACTGAGTGGGTAATCTTGGGCGATCCTGGTTTCTGATCTTAGTATGGGCTAGCTCTATATTCCCTCCACCCTGGCACCAGAAGCTAATAGAAGGGGAACTAACTGCAGATTTTTTTTAAGGGTTCGAGAGATGGAAGAAGCCATCTGAGGTATTAGCCAAACCCCTTGGCACAAGGAACCCTCTGTGGTAGTCACTGACTGAAATCAGTTGAGAGGGCTAGCCACCTCACCTCAGGTCCCAGTACTAACCCAGGCTGAGGAAAGCTGAGCCAGAATGAAAGGGGAATTGTCAGGGCTGGTCTGACCACTCCCTTGTCTCTGCCATTCTCCACCCTCAGTTCAGAGATGTGGAGGAAATGTTACTGGAACTGATGAACCCCAATGAATAACCTGAGACATGGTGAGCACTCCAGAGCTCCGTTGGGAGGAAGGAGGGACCTTCTCTGTGAAAGCCGTGACAACCTCTCCTCAGCAGCTGTCTTCAAAGAGCGCCAGCCACTCAGCTACAGAGCCAGCCCTAGAAGGGCCAACAGCTGAAGGACACACACATGTTTTCGGACTAGCTTCTGCTTTCTGTACTGGAGCCCGGATAAACACGGACCAGCTCCACACAGAATTTTAACTAAAAGCATTAAAGTTTTATTTTTTAAAAACATTTGGGAGTGGGAGATGTAAGTTTACGGCGCAGCATGAGACTGACCGGTTCCACGGGAGGGGGGTTTATTAAGGGTGGAGGATGAGAGAGAGAGGGAGACAGAAGATGGAGGGGAAGAAGAAAAGAGCGAGGTCAGGGAAGCTCCACCTATTTATACGGACGATGACAGTAGCCTTGTAGCCAGGTGAATTGTGGGAGTATTATCTTGGTTGCCTCAGCAACAATGTGATGTCACTGAGTTCAGACTTATACTAACATCCCTCCCTTTTTCTTATAAAAAGGAAAAAAAAGGAGAGGGGAAGCCGATGGTGAAAGAGGAGTCGGGGCGCCGTGTCTCTTAAACTACTTCCTGCTGTGTAGGGACTTAGTCCGTTGTGGGGGAGCAGCTGGCTTTTTCACCATCGGGGCCCACTCAGTGGATGTGTGTATCAGGCTCTTCTGTGGACAGCAACTGGTAATCGTTCCCCCCCCCCCAAAATGGCATGCTTCTTGGGAGAACTGTCGAAGACCATCTTCTTTAGCTGTCAGGACACCTGGCACCCGTCAGTTCTGAAGCACCACAGCTGGAATCCCACAGGTCTTGTATGTAGAAACGAGTGTCTTGCAGCGTTGGTAGAAGAAGTGGTTGGTCTGTGAACCTAGCATATGTATCTGAAAAGACCAATACTCTTCTGAGTAAAAAGAAAGCAAGTATAGAGAACATAATATTTAGATGGGATAATAGATACAGGGATGGTGGCAATTTGGATTGGTTCTTGGCATCCGGCTATGGAGCACTTTCCTGACCCTGTTTGGAAAGACTGTTTGTACAAAAAAAGCCAGGCAGTGGTGGCGCACGCCTTTAATCCCAGCACTTGGGAGGCAGAGGCAGGCGGATTTCTGAGTTCGAGGCCAGCCTGGTCTACAGAGTTCCAGGACAACCCGGGCTATAAGGCTGTACAGAGAAACCCTGTCTCGAAAAAAAACAAACCAAACAAAAAAGGAAAGACTATTATCTGTGGGTGTCTCTTGAACCTTGAACATCCAGATGTGAGGGCTGACCTGGATAGAAACAAGCAGCAGGGGGAGGATGAGGAACCCATGTCTAGTCCAGTGAGGTCAAGCTTGGCTGCCGAGTGGAGTCTCATTTTCCGGGATTGAAGATGAGTGATCTCTATGTCATCTGGAGGTTAATAGAGCACGGTCCCGTTAGGGTCAATGAGTATGAAGGAGAGTCGATTTTAGATGGAGAAATGAAAGGCTTAAGGTGAGACAGGTGGACCCAATGAGGGAGTCCTTCAAGTTTAGCAGCTGTAGGGGTCACGGGGATTACCTTAAAAGGGCCCTGCCATTTGGGGGAGAGAGGTGAGGGCCGATGATCTGGAGGGGAGAGAGGACTTGGTCTCCAATGTTGACAGGCAGTGGACAGAAGGCAGTGCATGGTTGAGATAGATGGATGTCAGCAAAGTTCCTCAAGAGAGAATGGAGGTGGCAAAGTAATGGGGTGAGCAGATGGTCTGGGAGCAGGGAATATTTAGGTGAAAGACCAGGAGTCAGGACTGGACATCCATACGTGAGTTCAAAGGGTGAGATGAGGAGAGGCTGCTTGGGGAGAGATCATAGCCTGAAAAGAGCCAGAGGTAAGAGTTTTACCCAGTCAAGGTGAAGTTCCTGTGACAGCTTGACAAGAGTGGTTTTTAAAGAGCAGTGAGTTCTCTTCTCTTACCTGAAGATTAAGGGTGGTAGGGAATATGAAAATGCCAAGGGATGTCTAGGGCCTTAGAATTTGGGAAACTTGGGAAGTAAATTCAGGCCCATTGTCTGACTGGAGGGGGCGGGGACACCAAATGGGGGATGATCTCTCTGAGGAGGAGTTTGAGCCCTTCTGTTAGTTGTGGTAAACGCCTCTACCCAGCCTGAGAAGGTGTCCACCAAGACCAGAAGGTACTTGACACGTTTGACAGCAGGCATGTGGGTAAAGTCAAGTTGCCAGTCAGTTCCAGGAAGGGAACCTCTAGCCTGATGGGTAGGAAAAGGGGTGCTACAATACCTTAAGTTGGGATCTGACATCTGACAGATTTTGCAAGAAGCAGTGATAGATTTTAGGAAACTTAAGTCCTCAGGAGTAGGCTGTAGGTGGGTTTTAACAATATAAGACAACACTTGGCTGTTAGGATGAAAGAGTTGGTGAAGATAGGACAGGGTTTGACGAGTGTCAGGGGGTGTAGCTGGGGATGTGAGTTGTAGTGTAAGAATCTCCTGGGGAGGGTAAGATGAGTCTAGGCTGCTAAGGGCCACAGCTCTAGCTGCCTCATCAGCTCGGTTGTTTCCCTTGGAGACAATAGAGTCATCTGTCTGGTGGGATCTGCAGTGGACAATCCTAATAGCTGTGGGGAGATGGGAGGCCTTTAGCATGGCCATAATCAGGTTTGCATTAGTTACTGATTCTCCTTTTGTGGTAAGTAACCTGCGCTCCTTCCAGATAGCAGCATGGGACGGGAGGATATGGAAAGCATATTTGGAATCTGTGTAGATGTTGAGGGATTGTCCCTGTGCCAGCTGGAAGGCATGGGTAAGGGCTATTAATTCAGCCTGTTGGTTGGTGGTATGAGCAGGAAGGGCCTGTGCCTCCACCACCTTGGTGTCTGACACTATGGTATAGCCAGCTTTCCTGACCCCTTCATGTAGAAAGGAGCTTCCATCTGTGTATACCAGGTAAAGATGGCTTGAGGCAATGTGCCCTCCTGTATGTATGAAGGATGTGGTAATAGTTCCTCTAAGGTTTCAGTACAGGAGTGAGATAGGGAGTAGTCAGTATTAGGTCAAGGAAGAAGATTGGAAATGTTAAGAGGTGGGCATGATTGAAAGGTGAGGGTGGAGTCTTCTATTAGAGCTACCTGAAGAGAAAGAACCCTGCAGGGAGGTAGTCTGTAAGCCTTTATAAGTTAGGAGCTGTGACAGGATGTGAGAAGAGAGGACAGTTATAGGCAATCCCAGGATTAGTTTCTTTGATTCTCGAATAAGAAGTTTGGCAGCTGCTAAAGTACGAATACAAGGTGCCCGTCCTTGGATGGTTAGATCTAGTCTTTTTGACAAGTATGCTATGGGTGCAAAAGATGGTCTCGGTTGGTGACTTAAGACTACAAGAGCAAATCCCTCTTTTTCAGTTACGTAGAGGGAAAAAGGATGAGTCAGGTCAGGGAGATGCAAGGCTGTGGCCTTAAGGAGAGCCTGTTGGAGCCTTTGAAAGGGCTTAGTAACAGGTTTGACAAGAGTTCATGGGTGGGGCCTAATGCTACTTCATATAAGGGACGAGAAAGTAGGGAAAAGGAAGGGACCCAGGAATGCACAAAGCTAGCCATTCCAAGAAATGATAAAATCTCTTCCTTTGTAGAAGGAACAGTTAGAGGCTGAATCAGGTTCTTTCTATCTAAGGTAATAGACTTGTGGGTTGGGGTAATTGTTAGTCCCAAATAGGTGACCTGAGGAGTGGACGGTTGAACTTTAGAAGGTGAGACCCTGTAGCCCCGACTGGAAAGGAAATTTAGAAGAGCAGCTGTGTCAGCTTGGCTAATTTCTAGAGAGGAGCTACAGAGAAGAACATCATCTACGTAAAGTACAATCTTAGATCTAGGGAGAGATAAAGAGATTAAGTCAGAAGCCAGGGGTTGCCCGAACAGATGTGGATTGTCCCGGAATCCCTGAGGTAGAACAATCCAGGTAAGTTGAGTAGAAAAGTGGGTGTCAGGATCTGTCCAGGTAAAGACAAATATGTCCTGTGACTGGTTGTCTAGAGAGATAGAGAAAAAAATGCATTCTTGTGATCTAGGACTGAAAAATGAGAAGTCCCTGAGGGGATAGTAGAGAGAAGTGTATAAGGGTTAGCTACGACAGGATGGAGGGGAACTACAGCAGAGTTAATGTGCCTGAGATCTTGAACTAGTGATAGGTACCATTAGGTTTCTTAACTGGCAGTATTAGGATGTTAAAGGGGGTCGAAGGAGTTGTTTCCTTAAGAGGTCAGAAATGATAGGCTTAAGTCCCCTGAGGCTCTGAAGAGAGAGAGGTTATTGAGCTTTAATAACAATTATGCAGATTTCTACCAATAGGTTATAGATATGCAATACATCCTAGCTATTCCTCCCTGTTCTAACAAAACCACTACATTTCCCTAGAAAGACAGCCCAATATTAACCACCTCAGTCCCCAAGCCCAGGGAATAGGGGCACTGTCTCTTCATTAACTTCTTCAAGCTGATTACGGGTGTTGAGATCTTAGAAGGGAAGAGTAAATTGATAAGCCTCTGATGTCTGTGTCTTCACTGCATCCAGCTGAGATTCCAGGACATCAGAGGTTCCAGCAGGTCTGCTCAGCTTGCTTGATGAGTAGATACACCAAGGCTGTGTATTCTGTAATATACAATTCTCAAAACAAATTTTAGTATCAAGATAATTTTTTGTTTGAATTCTGGAATCTAGTCTTCTGGCGGCCTGTCTCTATCATATCTAATCCATATAATTCTAGGAGTTTCTATGAAGGTATGCTCCTACCATCCTCCCATTCCCGCCTCCTCAACACTAGGGAATCCAAACTCTCGGGCACCAAGGCCCTCCACTTCCACTGATGCCTGACAAGGCCACCCTCAACTACCTATAGCCATGAGTCCCTCCCTTTGTGTTCTCAGGCTGGAGGTTTTAGAATGGCTACTCCAGTTTGTTTCTTAGGACCATTTGCTTGAAAAATTGTTTCCCAGCC